CAAAGCGAAATTTAATGTCAGAATAATTAAGAACACTTTGTTGATATCTATGTCATTAACGTCTTATTTTCGTCTAATGATGTTTCTTTTGGATTGATTGCAACTTATCTTTTCGCTTCGCCATTTTCTCCAAAGCTACGTTCTACTAAATTACCTGCCTGATTGTCTATCGATCATTCCCTGTATAAATTACATATGGCTTGTATATTCCTTTTTTACGTATATATGAGTGCTCTATTTTGAATAATTTAAAAAGAGCTTTTTAATACACATAAAAATAACACTTTTTGTTTTATTTGCCCACCAACAGTTCTGTTTCACACTTTGCGATTTTTCAAAATGGGTGTCTATTATTAACTCTACCAAGATCTACCTATTTCAACAGGAAGGCATCAGCGATGTGAATGGGTAAATAAAATAGAAATGTTATTTTTTTTATGTCTATTTAAATGTTCTTTTAATCATATTTAAAATAGATGTCTATTATACATGTAAGAAATAGAATATACAAATAATTATACAGGCACACACACACATATATTACACACACATATATACACATAAACACACACACATATATATATATATATACACACACACATATATATACGCACACACACATATATATACACACACATATATATACACATATATATATACACACACGCACACATATATATACGCACACACACATATATATTGACACACACGCACACACACACACACACATATATATATATAGACACACATATATATATATATATGATAAAATATAGTTTAACGTATGGTATATTTATGGGTTAAAGTGTTCAATATCAAGGCTAGGGCCTATGTAAATATGAAAGGTGCCTGATGATTGCATTTAGCATGAAACAGACTGTTGCCTCTGGGTGTTGAATCTAATGTTCACTTATATATATCAGGACTGTTGCTATGATAACAAGACTAAAGTCCGCAGAGTGAAGCACAGATTGACCATGAACTGTATCGCGCATACACACAAAGTTATAACGTCCACACTCACATCCGTTGTTTATAGCAGTGCTTGGAAGGAAAGTGTGTAGAGTGTGGTCGCCTCAGCACACCACAGAGAGTCCATCGGTAACCATGGCGTGTACAGCAGTTTTTGACCAAGAACAACATTTTCTACGTCCGACAACCACCATACTCCCCAGATCTCACTTGAAAGGAACAAGATTTCAAGACGTCGAGAAAATCCAAGAGAATGCGAAGAGGCAGCTGCTGGCTATTCAAATAAAAAAGGAATGCTTCTATCAATGGATACAACGCTGAATAAAGCGTATGGCTTCAGAAGTGGACTACTTCAAAGGAGATTAAATGCTGAATTGATATGTATTCTAGTTTTCATTTTATAGTATCAGATCTAATACATTTTTATCAGACCTCATATATATATATATATATATATATATATATATATATATTATATTGATGATTTTTTTGGCTCTTGCTTTGAAAAACATGAGACCTCTTATGTCGCGAGTTGGAATCATATTTTTAAATAAATAATCATATTTATGCTCTACTTTTGTATCGAGCACTATTTTTAAAAAATAATAACTAAAAAACTAAGGAACTTTGGATTATTTACCTAACCAGTTCTTTCCTATTTTCTATATATTTTCATATATATATATTTCTGGTGCCTTCTACAACTCCCTAAAGTCTTCTAAAACTTGTTTTTGTTTATGTGTAAGTTTTTATGTTATGCTTTAGCTATAAACTATAAAATGCGTTAAAAATGCATGAGTACTATCCAATCATATCGTTAGCAAATTAAAAAAAAAAAAAGCTTTTGAAATATTTATTTTTATTGCGTTTATGGTAAAATCGAATTTTCGATTTGAGGTGACCTTTTTAAAGAATGAAAACAAAATGATGCCTTTTCATTACTTTTAAACAAAAGTTCATCGATTTATGACACAGGTTGCCAAAAGTTTTTAAAACAAATATATATATATATATATATATATATATATATATATATATATATATATATATATATATATTATATATTTGATATAGTTGGATCACATCTATCCAACCAAATATGTTAGCTCTATCTCTGATATTGAGCGCTTTCTAATAAGTACCGCGCATATAATATATAAATAATTATACATATATATATTTATTTATATTTATATACACTTTTCACACATATATATATATAATATATATATATATATAATATATATATATACATATAATATATATATGTATATATATATAATATATATATATATATATATATGTGTGTAATTTTTATATATATTATTTATATATTATATATGATCTCTACTAAGTTTATATATATGTGTGTGTGTGCGTGCGCTCGCGCGCCCGTCGGAATTAGATTAGGCCTGCAAAATTAAAAAATATGATACATTTGTCTCAGAAATTTAGCCGCAGGCCTCAAGTGTAAGGGTAAATTACTGAGTGAAAAAAGAAATGGCGTAAGTTCAGTACTGCATTCCGTAGGAGTTATCTGTAAATCAAAAAAGAATTATTGGTTGAATAAATTTTGCTTCTACAAAACTTAATTTTTTGTACGCGATCAGTCGCTGAATTTGCTTTGATGATCACCAAAAACTTATTATTTTGAAAACTCCTCGCGGGTCGCGCGGAATCGTCCCGCGGGTCGTATTTTGTATCTCGTCCTAGTTTAGATGGTTACATGTATCTCCTCGTCTACCAATGCTCGATGTACAGTTCCAAATAAAAGCCAAGGTTATTATTCACCCGTACTTAATAATTCAGGGTGGAAGGTGTCTTATAACTAGCCGGGTAGAGAATTCTTAGTTTGCGTGGAATCAAAATATGTTCGTCGCAATAGCGCCATGTTTTTAAAGCATTAGTCAAGGAAGTCGGCTGAAGAATAATAATCAGGGGTCGTAGCAAGATGATATAGTTGGTAAAAAAATTAAAAAATAAAAAAAAAGGGGGGAAGTTGACCTCACTCTGATTTATTACACAGGGGAGAGTAATAGAGAGAAAAATTCCGCGAAGGCACGTTTGGTCTTTTTCGCCGCATTTTCTTTAGTAGCAATACCCGTGAAAATTTCATGATTTTTCTATTTAAATTTTTTGATGAATCATAATTATTAATTTAAGGATTAAATAAGCCCCTTGTGGGATCCACGACAATAAAATACCCGTGGAAATTACATCGTTATATATTTCAGCTTAACTTTAATAAAATATTGCAATAACAATCGTAAGTACGAATAAAGGTCCCTATTTTTATTTTTTTTTTTTTTTTTTTTAAGCATTTCGCACCAACCAAGGCGGGAGTGCCACTAGCACGCAAGGGGTTACAGAAGATTGAGAGCAAGAGTAAAGAGGGTTGTTTGAGGAAAGGCTATAGAGAAGAAGGGTATCGAGATCGAAGCACCAGAAGGTGTCGATTGACAATACATTTGAAGATTGTAGTTATCATGGAAGTAAGTAGCAGGAAGGGAGTTCCACTGTCGGGAAGAGCGAATTAAGAAGCTGTTAGAGTAGAAGAGGCGGTTGCATTTAACTGTTTCGACAGTGAAAATGTGGGACCGAAATGCCAACCAAGTAGCACGCTTAAATTCATGCAGTTGGAGTACCATTGAAAGTAGCTCGTCAGAGCAGTTGCCATGAAAATATTTGTAGAAAAGACACAGGGAAGCCACAGCACGTCTGTGAGAATGTGATTGCTTGTATCAAAAAGTGTCCCCCATATCGAGCACATTTGGCTGTGCTGCATGTTCCTGGTATACGCTTATCAGACATGGCGTCATGATGGGTATATTAGACTTTGTATAAATGTAACCCAGCTTTACTTTGCGACATGCTGCCCTCTCAATCAATAATGATTATTATTATTATTATGATTATTATTATAATTATTATTATTATTAAACCAGATGTTTGATTATTTACATTGTTCGGGCTGTTGTCATCTTTATTGTCATATTCACGACGTTTCGACCTTGTACACTCCGATCTTCTTCAGCTGATTGCCCATGGCCCAGTGGATAAAAGCGTTGGTTGGATCCAGTAACTTGAGTTGTGAGATCAATTCAATTAAAAAAAAACTTGGAGAGTTAAAGGGAGATAACTGAGACTTCCGGAAGAGGCATGGCACATGGAACTAGAACAGTCTAGCTCGGTGGACGAAATAAGGAGTTCAGTTTGAAATTCCAATCACCTGAAGAAGGCCGGAGCGTGCAACGCCCGAAACGTCGTGAATATGACAATAAAGATGAGGACAACAGATCGAACAAACTAAACGATGGAAATAATTACAGTACCTCGTCTCAGAAATAAAAAAAGATACTGTTGTGTGATGATTATTGCTACTGAGTGGCAGTAATTCGCTACCAATGGAAAAGGTCCTTTTATCCCTGGATTGCTTCAACCAACGCTTTTATCCACTGGACCATGTGCCTTTGAGGACGAAATTCTAATCATCTGAAGAAGGCCGGTGTGTACAACGGCCGAAACGTCGTGAATATGACAACATAGATGAGGACAACGTAAATAGTGTAAATAATTACAATACATTTCAGAAATTATATGACTATAACACACACACTCACTGTCTCTCTCTTTGTCACTCTCTCTCTCTCTCTCTCTATCTCCATGTACCTGACTCTCCACAACTTCCTTTTGTTGCTCTCTTTGACTTTATAGTACTTTTTATGCATTCATTTGCTAAAACTTGTCAAGTAGATTTCTTGCTGCTTTACTCATTTTCGCTTGTCTTCGACATGTCCTGTGTTTTAAATTCTCTTATGCGTCCCAAAAATTTCAGCTATCTTTTTCTGTTAGAAAAGATTTCGTTTTAAATCCTATTCTTTTTGAACCACTAAAAGAAGAAAAGAAAAAGAGACCGAAAACAAGCACTTACGTAAAATATGGAAACGCTTACACTACACGCTTTGCGTATAATGAGTTGGTCTGATCAGTGTATCTGTCACAATGCTTAAAATCAACACGGTTTACAGCCACGTCACTCTGAAACCCCGGTTCTCGTATGATTACCTTAAGTTAAGCAACGTTGAGCCTGGTCAGTACCAAGATGGTTGTCCGCTTGGGAATATAAGGTGCCGTATGTTTCGACGCGCTGGTGGTGTAATGACTAATGGCTCGGAATTGAAAATCGGGGAGTCGAGTTCCAATTCTATCAGGGTTTGCTATATTCACTTGGGCGCAAATACACCTGGGAAATGTGTATCCACCTCTTCTACCCCTGGCTATGGTTTAATTAGTTTTGTGATGTCAACGAACACTTGTTTGACACTTTTGTGATGCCAACGAATACTTGTTGTCACTTTGGTAATGTTCGTTGTAGTAAAGACTTTGTAATCGCAGATACAACTATAATAAGCCGTCGAACAATACTGGTGTCAGACGCCTTCGAATAGCCACTCGCACTAATAATACTTGCTCGATAATACTCGCTCATATAGTAACCACCGTATTGATCCGAATAGAGAATAGAGTAGAGAAGAGAATAAAGAATAGCGGTCCGTATAGTAATAGAGGACAGACTAGAAATAATGATCTGTATAGTAATAGAGGATAGACTAGAAATAACGATCTGTATAGTAATAGAGGATAGACTAGAAATGCGATCAATTAGACACACGCTACCTTCCATATATGCGTTTCCTCTATGGTCACGTGGTCTACTTAATTCAATAATGGGATCGCCTGTGTTTGCTCACTGGTGATCTGTGTTCAAACTCAAGTGTCGGCAGCGACACTTTATTCCTATATAACAATTAGTAAAACTTGTATCACTAAATCATTATCATTTCCCAAAACTTCTTTATATCTAAATATATTTTCTGGCTTTAAATAAGGTACAAAGGGTTGATAAGCCGTAAAAAAACAAATCAGCCAATCAATCAAAAGTCAAGTTAGTGAATACTTCCCGCTTTCACACTGTTTGCTCTCATGGTCTATGAGTATATTGACCCAAATTGTTTAGTGTGGAAAAGTAATAATAAGAGGTTTTCAAAAAAAAAATAATAATAATGATAAAAAAAGAAAAAAAACAAAAAACAATTTCTATCCTTTCTGTTGGTAAAAAAAAAAAACCTAAGAAATGATCTTTAAAAATATTATATGTAATCAAAACTTCAAACCGGAAACTAACGCGCGATATTTCCGGTTTGTAAGTAACTTTCTTGTTGCTGTAATTATTACTTCCGCTTTTATTGAGTCATTTAGCCATTTTTATCGGAGCCAACAACCTTTCCCGAAATAGGACAGTCAGAAATACGGACACTCTGTATTTCAAGGTTTCTAAAAAAAAAAAAAAAATTATACGATTCAGTAATACTACATTTATTTGCTTACCGACTCCAAGTAGTTAAAAGGTCAAATCAACGGTTGTCAATGCGCCAATGCAGCAGTCATTATTTCTGATTTGAAAATCATCATCATCATCATCATCATCATCATCGTGCCAAGCTTCTTAAATTCATGACGCCATCTTTACCGATCATTCATGAGAGTTCGGCCATATTGAATTCAGCATCTTGAGTTGGCCAACGTAAGCGTGTTTCATTAAGACAGATTATATATAAGGGTGTTTCATTAAGACGGATCAAAGACAGCAGTAAATAAATCAGTGTTATTGGTGAAAATTTATCTATTTCTCTATTGGATCACGTTATTTAAGTTATGGCAATTATGTGTGAAAAATAATATTGCCCAAATGTCCGCCAAATCTGAAAGAAAAAAAAGCATTGGACGCTTAAACTTAATTCACATTTAAAATTGGTCCAAGTTATTGAAACACCCTATATAACATCGAAGGATTTCCAATGTGTCCATGAGATGACGTCTAGAGAATTCTTCTTCTTTTATGTGTCGTGTCCCTTCAGAACGTAGGCAATCATGGTCCTCCACATCTTCCTGTCCCTTGTAGCTCTTAAGTTTTATCTCTTCGTTATTTCTTCCAAAGCTTGTTTCACCATCCATCTACTCAAGCCCATCAAGTATGTTACGGGCTGCTTTCCTTTTTACGTACCCCAGAAATTTTTAACTGCCTCTTCTTGATGTTAAGTATAAGTTTCCTTTTTGTTTCAATTTTCTCCAAAATATCGTCGTTACTCACGTGTTCGGTCCATTGTATCCTCAGCATCTTTCTGTAGAACCACATTTTACACGCTTCAAGTTTCTTCTTCATCTCCTCGGAGATTGTCCACCATTTACTGCCATAGAGGAGGACAGATATCTCGTAACATTTCAGTACTCTTTTCTTTGTTTCTAACGATATTTTTCTGCCTCTTAATACACTGCTTAGCTTTTCGAAGGCATCTTTGGCTATCCGAATGCGTCTTCGGATATCAGAGTTTTCTTCCTCTGTTAGAACTTTTCCCAGATATTTAAATTTTTGTACCTCGATTTTATTATCGCCGATTTCTAATTTGCATTTTGGGGCACAAAGCTAAAAAAAATTTTGGCGGTAAATCTGACTAAATTACCGTGATTTCTCGAAAATAATACGCATTTTTTTACTGTAAATTATAGCTGATAGTAGTGAGCGTATTATAAATAGGTTTAAACAAAAATAGTTTTTAATTTATAATAATAAATATGTACTTGTTGTTCTAAAATAAGAAAGATATTATCGCAATTTTCATTTTAAATCCAACAGACCTCACCCCTTTGAATTCAACAGATTGAAAACAAGGCACATCAAAAGTCAAAGGTCAGCATTTCCAATACAGCCTAAAGGATATTTGTGCTTTTTTTTTTTTTTTTTAGCTGAATAACGAAATGCTGAAAATTCAAAAGTTTATCTTTGTAGTCATTAGGCAAACGCTGGGCTATGGATGTTCTTCTCCGAAGAGATATTCAAACACTTTTTTAGTTCATTTTTATTCTTTCTCCATAAACGTATGTTAGCCTCATTCAACTCATATTCTCTAGCTGCAGCTTTTTTTCCTATTCTTTCAACTAATTCTATTACTTTTTGTTTAAAATTTGCACTCTAACCCGCACGTTTTGACGACATTTTGGTGATAAAATAAACAATGTTATATTTATCGGGAAAACCGCCTGGTAATTTTCAACATTATTTTAGCGGCTTAGTTTCGATTTTATTCTTAATGTCAAGGTCGACAAAATGTCTTCGTAATTATTTTTTTTTTTTTTGTTTTTTGTTTTTTTGACAAAATTTATAGATGCGTAATATACATAAGGATAGATATATTTCTTAATTTTTGGATCATTTGTTGGGGTGCGTATTATTTATGAGAAATTACGGTAGTCAGTATTATATTCGGAGGAGTAATTCAATTTGTAATGTAAATTGATTGATTCGTTTTCTACGGTTATCAACCCTTTGCAGGTTATTTAAAGCCAGAAAATATTTTTAGATTGTAAGAAGTTTTTGTGAAGTAGGGAGATATAACGATTTTTTTTTTTATATACAAATCTTACTAATTAACCCATAGCTATGGTAGAAAAGATGGCTTCATAGCTTTCCAAAAGGTATTCTCGCGTAAGTGAATATAAGACGGACCCATTACATTCATTTACGTGCTAATACCCTTGGGAAGAGTATAAATCCTCTTCTTCCCCCAGATATGGGTAAATAGCAGTACAGACTGGGTTCTATAGCCTTGGGTAGCAACCAGTCTAGGAGAAAGTAACTCTGAATTCAAAACCGGCTTAGAAAGGGTTGGGCTCCGTGAGGCTATCTTGCTTAAAGAAACACTAATATATATATATATATATATATATATATATATATATATATATATATATATATATATATATATATATATATATATATCCATATGTTTGCTTACATATATATATCAAAAAACACTAAATTAATTGAGTTTCTTTTTTGAAGTTTTCGAACAAGATGGTTAGCCATCTTAATACCATTTTTCCTAAGAATCACTGAAAAACCCTATGAGTAATTCAGCTAGAAAGAGAAAAGGTTCAAATCGTTTTCTATCAGTCCCACTGTCTTCTCAACTGAGCAATGATGGGAGGAAAAATATCTTTCAGTCCTTCAGGAATGGTACCAACATTCATACTCTGGCTTCCAACTTCAAAGTTTATTCAAGAACCATCCAGAAAACGGTAAATAAGTTTTAAAAAGAGGGAATAGTAAGGAGGAAAACTGGATCAGGGGGTCACAACAGGAAGAGGGATCATCATTTCAAGTTAGAGCTAAAGAGATCATTTAGAAAAGATCCAACTCATTCCATATAACGTTTAGCACGTGAGAGAGAAGTTTCTACTGTGTAGCGGAAAAAACCATATTTTAAATCAATTAATTTATAATATTAATGCTCTGTAAATTTACATTGCACTATTTTGTAAAAATAAAAATATCTATAAGAACACCGGATTATATATCTTACTGCTCTTTCGTTTTTTATATATATATATATATATATATATATATATATATATATATATATATATATAACTTAATTTCAATCTTTCATGAGCTTCCGATCCTTAGCTATGATTAATTAATGATGAACATGTCATTTTTGTTTATGATCGATTTCATCACGATTGTTTTGTTAAGCGTAAAGAGTAATTATACATATCTATTGCTCAAAGTAGAGTCCAGTAGTGCTATAAAAACCTCGGAGAATTCCAGTAAGATATTTTTAATCATTTCTAGGACACAACGGTAAAAAATTTTAATCTAACAAATGGACATTTTGCTTTTACACGATTTGGACAATTTTTTGGACAATTTTGTTATATATATATATATATATATATATATATATATATATATATATATATATATATATATAAGTTTGAAGCCACCTCCAGAATTAGTATGGAATTTATCTGATTCGAAGACTGAAGAAAAAAAATGAAAAAAACGCTCTTAGAACCATTGAAAAAAGAATAGAATCAATTATCAAACTTACACTGTTATGGGGTCCTCCCCTTTTCATATAAGTGGACTCTACCAGTGTTACTTGGAGTGCTGCTGTTAAATACCCAGAGTAGACAGTCAGTGAGGGTAGTCGGATAGAGAGAGGATACACGGCGAGTGAGAGAATATACAAACGGAGATAGAGTGAAGTAACCTCTTGTAGAAGTCAGTTACAAG